TAGAATTGAGCTAGAAAAAGGATTCACGCTAGGCCTAATAATCCCCGCTTCTAACATCTCTCGAATTAGCTTTTCAATTTCATTCTTCTAGACCTAAGGTATCGGTAAGTCTTGACACTGATCGGTGATACACCCTTCCTCAGTGTGATGGCATGCTCATGTCTCCTTTGGGTGGAAATCCATGAGGTGGCTAAAAAATCACACGAAACTGTTGTATCACTGGCTGTACTAAAAGAGGGAAGTCCCCTCCTTCCTCCCCTCTGATCCCCTCTAAGCTCTAACCAGAAATCCTCTTCCCTCCTCCTGTATGGCTCTTACCATGGTTTTTAGTGACACCATGGCTTAGGAGAGGCTTGCATCGCACCTGCATCTCCACTAATTACCATCCTCCTCCCTTCCACCATCAACTCCCTTCCACCTTAGTGTCCCCAATTCACCAAGGTCTACGGTCACCTCATCCCCAAGATGACATCAGTGCTCCCTAGCTCCAATGGGAGAACACCTCCCTCACCTAGATTCTATGTATGGTCAAAACCACTCCCCTACACACCCCTCTACCTGTCTCCATCTGCCCTGTTCCCATCATCACCTCATAATTTCCTGCGTCCACCAGTTACACCCTAACAGGTCCACAACTTGGTTGGAGATGAAATTGTGGGTGGTCCCAATGTCTCAGCACCACTACCTCCTTATCTTCTATTTTTTCTCTCACCTTCATAATGTGATTCGGAGTGAACCTCAACACTGAGTTCAAAGAGACCTCAGCCACATCTAAATGTAGTTTTTCTTCCTCCGTTGATGCCTCACTCCCACCTCCCTCCTCAACTTCCTCATCATCACCGACAGTGAGAACCTGAAGGTTTGGTCTTTACACATGCCCTAGCATGTACTTCTCATCACATCTAAAACATAATCCCTTATGCCCGCTTCTCCTGCACCTCCGCCTCTGTGAGTTGCTCAGTCCCCCTAGCGAACTCCACCGCTCTCCTCCCTTGGAACCTCTCTCTGGAAGGATATTGTTTGGGTTTTGGGAGCTAGGGTTGTAGGGGTACTTTGATAGGCTCCTCCCATGGTTTTACTTCTGATGGATTTCTCCCTCTAACATTTTTCCTCCACCCTCTAAGTCAGCTCCATCTCTCTCAGCCCCTAAGGCCTCAGTACCAGAGTTCCGCCCGTATGTTTTTCCTAAGCCCCTTCATGGAATTCCCCTCCAATCCTTCCTCAAAAATTCCCCTCAGTCTCCCTGACAATGGCTCAAATTTCTCCCGGTACTCCATAATTGTCCCCTCCTGCGTTAGGGCAAAGAACTGCTCGTGGTCTCCTTCCAGGATGGCTCGAAAATGTTCCAACAAGCACTCCTTAAATTCCACCTATGAGTAGATCGGATACCTCGCCTCCCTCCATTGAAACCAGGCGAGGGCTTTTCCTTCAAAACATAGACCTGCCGCCATGAGTTTCTCCCCTTCAGTCAACCCATTAATGGCAAAGTAACGTTCCACCCGGTACACCCAACCCTAAGCATCCTCCCGTTCAAAGATCGGCATCTTTAGCTTCCTTGCCCTCATATCCATACCCCATTGATTCCTTCCCCCATTAGTTCCCCCGATATAATGTTGGTGTGATTCCCTTCCTTCCTCTCTTGGTTGGTTTTGACCACATGGCTCCCCCAACCATGTCCTTCTCCCTTCCATCTTTCCCATGTCGGTTACTTCCCAAAAGGGTTGTCTTCCCTCCTCTTTGCTGTCCTCTCATCGAAATAATCTGATCTACCCATCAACGGGGATCCATGTGATGGTCCTCGATGGAAAACACTTTCCAATTCATCGCCGTCCTCTTGGATTTCCTTTCCTCGTGATTCCACCCTTGGAATTGTTGGTGATGCTTTCGATTGCATCTCAAGCAACATTTTCATCATCTCTTCAAAGTCCCTGAAGCGGTTCTCGATGGTCATCTTCCCTCCACCCCAGAATATTTTTCCTCTATGTTGGCCATGAGTTGTTCCATCTCGCCTTTCAATGCATCCATCTTCTTTGCTTTCATTAATTGGATCTAGTTCCAATTGCAAAAACAGCAACGAAAGCTTGTTTTTTCGCCCAAGAAAGTGACTCTAATACCAATTTGTTAGGAAACAAGTGCATGAATTGAGAAAACCTGAGCTACAACTGCGAATTTCATGAATCTTCAAGCAGATTTTTGAAATAAATCCCTCGACAAACTCTAGAGAAACTTGATAAAGATGAAAAGTAGAGTAAAACAAGCAGAATACAATGAATCTTCAATTGGAGAGGAAGATCCAACTCTCCCAATCTATCCGGTGGCTAGATCCCAAAACACCTAAGAGAAAACTCAAAAATAGCAAAATAACCCATAACCCTAATCCTAATTCTCCCTCCTCTTTAGAGAATAAAAATTAAATGCATACTTACTAAACAACTCTTCTTAATTGATTTCACTCCTAATTCCTCCCCCTCCTAATTAAATTACATTTAATTCATGGGCCCAAAAAGGGGACCGACAGCTCCTTGGTTTGCCTGGTGTAAACCAGGTCCCGACACTAGTTTGGGGCCGGCTGGACCAATCCACTTCGAACTGATCTAACACAACAACGAGAGTTGATTGAGGTAGGTGGAGGAAGGGCATGAGAGAGCAATTAGCTAGGGAGGGTGGCAATGACAGGGTTGGAGGCCGGCGGTAGTGGGGTCAGAACTGGTAGGAGCGGTAGGTTGTCGACTAAATCTACTAGAGGCGGTGGTGTCAAGGGCTGAATGATTTTTGAACGACTGGTTGTGCAACGACGAGAGCAGACAGAGCATCGAAATTCGACAACAGCGTACATAATGATGGTCAAAGCAACGAGATCGTCTAGTATCCCATGCAAATAAGGGCTACTGGACCAGCAACCTCAGGCTGGGCATGATTGAATGTTGGGGTCGCGTGTAGGCAAGGTCAGTTGTTGTTGAACGATTGAGTGAATTGCAGCACAAAGAATGAGAAAGTGAGCGAGGGAGTTCGGCTGGCTTGCGTGTGGCCGTTGGCAAGGATCTCAATATAAAGCGAGTGGGATAGCCCTTGGGTGTGGGGAGAATCGTATTGAGAAAGGGAAGATGTGTTCGGATAGTGGTCTTAACGTATGAGTGTTGTGAATGGGAAAGAGATCATGGGTTAGTGGGGATTTATGAGATAGTGGATTAGGTTTAGGCTTTATTTGTTTATTTATTATTATCATTGTTATGATCTGATTAAAAAAACTATATTTAATATGTGCATAGATCCGATCTCATCTCATGTGCATAAACTTTCAATTTTTTTCAATCGAAAACCCTTGCAAATATGAGTGTCCATTTTGACTATTTTAGTTGTCCCAAACATGTCAATGTTGCCCGCTTCGCGAACATATGTGATTTTGTAGATTGACTTTTGTTCAACACATTTTGAACAACTGTCATGCGATGAAGAGTCATTTGCTCCTCATTTTTAGTCGCATTTTGTTAATTCAATGTTAATACCGCTATCGAGGTCAATAAATGCCCCATCCACAAAAGGGAATAAAGCACAATATATTTAAAACTTTAAGTGCATATAGCAAATAGTGGAGCAATGAGTTTGATTTTTTGTGAGATTTATTTGATTAAAGCTTCGTTTGGGACGACTTTTTTACTGCTTCTAAAAACAACTTTTTAATGCAAAAATTCAAAAATTAAAAAAATTTTGCACTAGGAAGCTGCTTTTAGAAGCAGTAAGAAAGCCATCCCAAACAAAACCTAAATCATACCAAAATAAGTAAAAACATAAAGTCCGCAGACTAAAAATTGTAGAGCGATGTTTTTGTTGATTATAAATCTTCCTCGACCTGGAGTAAGATAAATAGTATTTGGACCAACCACCAAAATCAAAGGTTTCATTAGTTCATATATATTATATTATTACAATATTGCCTGAAATGATAAAAATTATTTGAGGAAGCCCCTTCAACCAAATTTAGAGAGGGTCGGTACATATTATATTTAAATGGATCATAATAGCACGACTACAATGAACCCTTAAAGTGAAAACTATATGAAGAATGCCCCTTCCACCTAATTGAAAAAAAAAATGACAAAATATGATATTCTCTAGTAGGCAAAACCCATTATAGAACAGCACCAGGGCCCATTTAGCCCATGTATAGATATTCTAGAAGGTTTATAGGATCTATAAATACCTTTCTATGGCACAAATAAAGTAAACAACCATCAATACTCACAATAAAGACTAGGCATCTAAATAGAAAATGAGAGAGCACTCGAGAGCAAAATATGAGAGTGAATGATAGTAGAGGAGTTTGAGGGACATGAAATTGAGCCCTCACATAAAGAAACCATCTCAAATCATCCAGGCAATTCTAAACTTCAACTCTGTCTTTCTCACCCATATTTCCATTGAGCAGGATGTCTCCAACCTCGTTGAAGTTTTTGCATCTTTAGAAGGGACTTAACTACAAGTTTGTTTAGGTCATGAAACTCCCTATTTGATCAAGCATATGTATTAACACAAAACAATAACCTCAAGTGGGCCTATAGAAGGCTGAATAATAGCAACTTATAAGAAACAGAGCTCAAAGATGCATGATTTTTATATTTTGGATTTTCCAAGTAAAAATTGCATTACCTCTTATTCGATTGTTTGTGAGCTAGAGTACCACTTAGCAAAAACCATTGAAGTATCGCATCACTCCCAATCATTAGGAATGCATCCAGCATGAAACAACATTAAATTTTTAACAATATCAGCCTATAAGGTGTCATATCCTTTGAATTGCAAGTAATTTCTTAGTTCATGTGTTATTTCCATTTATCATCTACAAATTATATATCATGCACAAGTATTTTGATTCGTAAAGCAAAGATGCATTTCGAAATGAATCATTTTTCATCTGTAGTCTCAGTACAAAAAATCACATGCGTGACTGAACTACAGAACCAATCATGCGCTATAAGAGCAGGAAGTGATGCAAATAATACCTCAAGCATTATAACCCAACAAGGATTGGGGTCAGCCTGCCCTGCATATAGAATAAAAAAGTAACGAGTTTCAATTTTTCTGCTTCAGATTGTTGAATTGCACAGATAGTAAAAAAACTAATACACCTTCAAATTTCTTCTTTTTTTTTCGTTAATTATTTCAAGCTCTTAATAGTTGATCTCATGATGATTAGCCATATTTTTCACTAATATCATAGCCTTACAAATAAAACATTGTAAGTTCAAACTCATGGATTGCAGTATTTCATCTACATTAAATTTTACAATAGTTATCAATCAAATATTTTTTTTTTCCTTCAAGAATTCAATAATCATTTGAATCTTGTACAAGAGTAAGAGTTTATCCCTCATGTAATTTACTCAAATCTGAAATATTATTGATCTAACAACTCTTACAAAACATCCTCTGGTGTCTTATCTTGAAATTGTATAAGTCACTTGTACTCAGTTTTGGGGTTTCCCCGTCCCCTTTGGGTTTTGGTGTTATCAATCACTAGTAACCAGAAAAAACAACCGAACTAAAAAAGTAAATGACCCGATGTAACACCTTAAAAGCGTTTTTAGAACATAAATCACTTTCAACAGTTCACAAAATATTAGAATTTCTTTCATCTGGTAAGCCAGCTAAGTTTAATATTATATTAACGAAGAAATTTTCATAAAGCAGTCATTAGTACATAATCTCAATAAAATATTTAAAATTTATTCTTAGAAACATTCAAATTAATACTATAATAGAAATTGAACTGATTGGGATTAAAGCAATGAAGTTTATCCATGCTTATGGTATCAATATCTTACTCACAATTCCTTTACTTGCCTAATCAAAAGCTGATATAGAGGAAGAAAAGGTAACTCAAGAAGCTGCAGCTTACTCACATCCACTTCTGTCTAATGCATCCCGGATTTCTACTCTGTACCGATATAGATGACTTGAAACTTCTCCAACAGTCTCTAATTGTCTTTTGGCAAGGGAAGGACTAATCTCCACTGAACTGCATTTGAAAAAACCCAACCAGTTTATATGAAAGTTAACAAAAATTATTAAATAACTAGCAGAGCAGAGCGCTACAGAACCAGGCTCATAGAGAAAACGCACCTAATACACTGGGCGTCTGCAGGAGAGGATTTATTTACAAAATTTTACCCTGGTATATGGGAGATGCTATTTTCATGATTTAAACCTATAAACAGTTCACAGTCAGGCAATGGAGCAGTTACCATGATCCAAGCATATGACCAGATCACAGTCAGGCAACCTAACCAGTGCACCAAAGACTGAGTCTAGAAAGCCTAATCAAAAGAAAGTTTTATAATGTGCTAAAGCTCCTATGAAAAAATAGAAAATCAACTTTCTGCCATTAAGATATTATTAATTAATATACTTAAAATATCCTTCTTAAAGCAATTTTATTCACGTAATCCACCAAGTAGCATGGACACACTAATGCATACGGTGGCTTGATAATGAGAGTATCATAAATTTGCTAAGTTATGCATCCTATTCAGTTGCAATCAATATTGATTTGAAAACAAATACCACTTTTCCAAATTCCTATTTTTCATGGCTTTTAGAGTCATTTATATCCTTTTAGACCTCATGATCATGTCATCATTTATTAAGAATATTTAGTCTGTCATTAGTTTGCTAGTTATTTGTTAGCACTTTATCAGCAATTTCTTAACAGTTAGGCATTCCTTATTGACACCGTACCGGAGGGGGCTCGACGAATCCACGTCGATGATCCGGTGGCCGTGGCCGGATAACTCCAAAAACTTCTCGGAGGAGAGGGATCACCACCTGAAATCCTTCAGGATACAGAAATCCAAAAGAGTTTAACTACTCAATTCTTATTCATCTCAACAATCTATCTTATTACAAACATTGGCTACCTATTTATAGCCAAAAAGAAAGCATCATAATAGGCTACATACAAAATAAGAAAGCATTTCACCTCTATAGCCCTATAACTATCAAATGGACTTAATATAGCCTGAAGTTTAATACAATTAACGTCTCAGCTCCGGCGTCATACTACCAGGGTAGAAAGAACTTCAGGCTCATAAGAGGATGCCCGGTTGTCCACATTAAGGAGGCGGATTTGGTTGGCTAAACTGATCAGGATAGTTCCACCCGATGTCAATTTGCCTACCAATCTTCAATCTCTCAAGAGAAGCATAAGCAAATGGAATACTTGTGATTGTGAAAGCATCTAGGACCAAAGGTGTTTCTTTCAGCCATCTAGAGGAGAAGATAAGAGCTTCACGATCCAAGCCATTGAGGAGATCTTCACATGCAATTTTTTATCAACAATGGCGAGCGTAATTGATGTCTTGTTCGGAACATTGTGAATGAATAGTTTCGGTTGGACATTTGGCTCCGGCTGGCCATCCATTTTACCCTCGTCATCATCATATGCAGGCTGGTCAATATCAAGAACTTCTACGGATATGTCATCGTCATACATGTCATACCTTGGCTCGTCGTAGAAAGGAAAAGATGACGATTTCAGCAACGAATCTTCAAACCCATCAAACCTGGACTCGATCAAGGAGGAGGAAGACTTACGAGGTGACCCTTCAAAAATGTCTTCGTAGGGAGAAGGAAGTTGATCGAAAATATGTAGGCCAAATTTGTTTTCTCCATCACCTCGGGATCCTTGTTCGTCCCTAGCAGAAACTCGCCTTCTTATATCCTCTTTTGAAAAATCTTGTTAAAATACATTAACGTCTTCTTGATGATCCACTATTTACTGGTGTTCAATTCATGTTCGTCTTTGAGGTAGCCTTTTAATTCATGCATGAGATGATTTCTTGTGCCTGACTTCCACACAAGAACAAGGATTGATATCGTTCTTTGTTGTTGGAATGGCTTGGACAATAGCAAGAAACGGTTGAGGCGCTGTGGTGGAAGACTCTTGCTTGGGGAAATCATTCTTAACGTCGTTGATTGGCCGGTTTGATCGTGCAGGGGCACGGTCGGTAAATACTAGATGCAGGAAGGGATGCGGGCAACTGAGTCGCACGCGAAGCTGAAGCGGGCTGAAGGCGGGGTGTGCGGGATGCGGACGCTCGCCGGTTGCTTGTGTAGGCGAACCGACTCGGGGTACCCCAAGTGCAGGACATGTAGGACTCACGGAAAGCAGGTTCAGAGCATCGAAATCGCAGAACTGGGCGGTCTGGCTCACAAAAATGGGATGTCGGATGCGTGTGGGGCGAGGTTTCTCGAATCACCATTTTTCGTGGCCTTCCTTTGCTCGAATCTTGCGAGACGTTGTTGTAGTAGCGCGACCTCCCGCTGTATATCTTCACGCACTTCTTGAATTGGTTGTTGGGGTTTTTGTCGAGGCGGCATCTTGCTGGCTCTTGATACCAAATGACACCGGATCGGAGGGGACTCGACGAATCCACGTCGATGATCCGGTGGTCGTGGCCGGATAACTCCAAAAACTTCTCGGAGGAGAGGGATCACCACCTGAAATCCTTCAGGATACAGAAATCCAAAAGAGTAAAACTACTCAATTCTTATTCATCTCAACAATCTATCTTATTACAAACATTGGCTACCTATTTATAGCCAAAAAGGAAGCATCATAATAGGCTACAAACAAAATAAGAAAGCATTTCACCTCTATATCCCTATATATATCAAATGGACTTAATATAGCCTGAAGTTTAATACAATTAACGTCTCATCTCCGGCGTCACTTATGCATCTAATAGATCTATTATATGGAATCCAAGATAGTATTTTAAGTATGAAAAAAATAATTATTGTAGATGTGAAGACTATTGCAGATTTTGAATCTTGAACAGATGTGAGACATGCCACCTTTTTGGGAGACACAATCTCCTTATTCAAGATTGAGACTAATTTATCTTGTTAATTTTCTTTTCTAATTCTTTCATGATTTTTCTCATTCAAAACGCATGCATGTCTCCACTCTAAAGCTCAAGCTATAGTTCACACAAAAGCAAAAGTTACAAATTTCAGATGGTAAAACTAGCATGCTTGTCAAATTGTTGTCAATGATCTCCTAGTGTTAGATTCCCTTCAATCACTGTATAGGATTCATCCAATAGAGTTATAGTATTGAAAAAATAAACTTACCAGAATTATAATGTTAGATTTGTAAAAATCAAACCTCATCAAGCATATTTTTTTTGCATGAAACAGGGCACTTGAGGAAACTTATAATAGGTTAAACCAAATTCTAATTTAACTTGATTTCACTGAACTTGTGCCTAACATGTCTGAAAGGCTAGAATGACCTCCAGCTAACTCCAAAAGGTCAAACTAAGTTTATGCATGCCTAAATAGGAAATTGCGGCAGAAAAATCCTACATGGCCTACATGATCCAAACGAACACAGACTGAGCTGGTTTGTCTTCCTATTGACCTCTATATCTACTCCACGGTCAATTGAGTGTGACAAGAAGAACAACAACTGACCGACGCGATGTTACTTGCAAGAAGTTCGAAACATCTTGATCCTGATCAAAAACAACTTAGACATCGTCCATTTGCAAGTGGATTGTGTTGACACGTTCAAAACGATGAATTTGCTAAAGAACAACCACTCATGTAAACTCGATTGAACTACAATGGAAAAAGCAACTCTCTATGAGCACGATGTTACGTCAAATCGCTCAAACATCATCCATTCGCCCCATTGCATTCGAAACATCAAATTCGCATGTTGACTTCCTTTTTGCACAGGTCACTTGCATGAAATTATTGCACACTTCGTAGGTCAATTTACCTCTTATACACATGTTCACTCAGTACATAATTTTTTTCGATCGAGATCTTATTTTGCAAAATGAATTACATCGTTGCGTCTGGCTCGTTGAGACGAATCAAATAAGTCCATTCGTGCTCGAACTAGATATCATTTGATGCGTGTCAAGTAGAGCGAACGATTGGGGAATTTTTTTAATAAATTTAATAATCAACATAAATTAAAATCATTAAAAAAATCTTAAAAGAACTAAGACAATTTTAATAAATAAAATCTGTTAATAAAACAAAAAATAGTATATATATATATATATATATAAAATAAAACCTTCATTCAAATTTAATTCCAATTAAGTTTGGATACAAAGCATTTAAGCTCCACCTTTCCACATCATCCCAAATCAAGCAATCTCTTCATATGATGGCTGAAATTTGTCAAGATTACAACACTTTTTAAAAGCTTTTCAAGGGCAATAGGAGATGTGATATCAGCCCTTGGATCAAGGGCATCAAAGGGCTATATTGTCATTTCACTTTTAGCTTTCATTTCAGGTTATTCAAAGAAGCTAGAGCCAGTGCGTTCGAAGGGATCTGCTCTCATTTTTCGTGAAACCCCCATCTCCCTCACACGGCTCTCCCACTCACACATTCTACAGCAGTTTCGGTAAGAAGGGAAAGAGAAAGGCTGAAGGCAATCGATTCTTGCTTCTTCCTCTTAAGCAGGTCGAACCAAGCAAGAGAGTGGGGTGAAATCTGCTGCTTGTTCCCCTATTCAGCCAGAAGAAAACATGAAGGTTGCTTGCTGGTTCGTTCCTTCCAATAAGCAAAAATCATATATGAACGGCTGCTTTTGATTCCTCTAAACATAAAATTAAAAGGGTGAGATTCTTCTACTTTCTTTTGATCTAATTTTTTTAAAAAAATGCAAACAAAAAATGAAGAATATATTCATTTATATTGATTTTTGTCTTGTAACAGAATGAGAAATTACATTTCCTTGAGTTCTATAAGTATAGTGGTGTCCATTTATGACACGACCCAAAAATCTGACCCGAAAATTTCAATTCTGGGCTCACCCGTTTAACAAATGGGTCAGGTTCGATTTTTAATTCCCAACTCGTTTCAAAAATTGAGTCTTGTCTAAGTCAAACCACTAGCCCGGAAACGACCCGCCCGCACCTCTTGCCCGCTTCTGCTTGCATCGCGTCCACTTGACTACATCATCCAGCATGGCATCCCACCCTCTCCTGCCCGCATCACGTCCACGTGACCGCGTAAGCCCACATCGCTTCATGCCCAGTCGCGCTCCCGCTAGCATGTGTCGCGTTCGAGCCCGCAATACATGACTGCTACTAGCCCGCATTTCATGACACTTCCAGCCCAGCTACGCATGCATTTGACATCGCCTGCTCTAAGCTCGCCAGGATATCGGATCAACCCGAATTGGGGCAAATCAGGTCTGAATTCATATTTTTGGTCCGTTTGTGTAATCGGGTCGGGTTCGGGTTGGAGTAGTCGATAGCAGGTCAGTTTCGGGTTAGATCTAAACCCGACCCGAAAACCTATTTTGACACCGTAAACTAATCATGTTTTGCATTATTTTCTTATTTTATGTGAATATGAATTTAGTTTCTTTGGATAATTGTTGTGGTTTGCAATCCAAGCTTGTTATATAAAATCTGAGATCAAGAGTCCTCCAAAACTACCATTGGCCACTCCCTAATCTGTCCCCTCACCTTTCATGGTATGATTTGGAGTAAATCTCACCACTAAGTTATGGGACACTTCCTCCACATCAAGGTTTATGTGCTCTCCTCCCGCTTCTGCTTCCTCCACCAACTCCTCGTAGTCGGTCTCCTCCTCATAAAAAATCGTAAAGAACCTCGAGTGTGCGGTCCTTACATCGATGGTCTAGTGTATACTTCTCATCACATCGGAAGCACAAACCCTTCACTCTCATGTCCTGCACCTCTGCCTCTGTGAGGCGCTTAAAGTTGTCCTCGGGGTGAACTCCCCCACTCTTCTACCTTGGTGCCCTCCGTTGAAATGATAATGTCAGGGACCTCAGTGCCAATGAAGTCGAGGCACTCCTATAGGAGCCTCCCGTGACTCCGCTCCTATTGTTCCTCTCCATCTATCAAAGATACTCCACCATCTGTGCTAGCTCCATCGTCTCTCTCAACCCCTTGGCCTTAACAATCGGAGGTCTGCCCGTATGTCAGGCTTTAAGCCCTTCATGAAAATTTTCTCAAACACAGGCTCCAAAATCCACCTCAACTGCCCCGACAGCAACTTAAATCTCTCCCTATACTCCATGAAGGTCCCCTCCTGAGTTAAGACAAAAAATTGCTCATGCAGGTCTCCTTCCCGAATGGCTTGGGAACACTCCAACAAACAATCCTTAAACTCCTCCCAATAAAGGATCGGATATCTAGCCTCCCTCCTTACCTTCCAGACATAGCCCTGCAACCACAAGCTTCTCGTCCCCATTCAACTCATTTACCATGAAATACCTCTCCACCAAGTACACCCACCTATGGGCATCCTCCCCTTCAAATATCAGCATCTTCAACTTCCTCATCCTAGCATCTCCGCTCCAACATCCTCTCCCTCCAACAGCTCGCCCTATGTATCGAGGGAGAGAATCTCACCTTCTTCCATCCTCCTTATAGGAACCAATCCCAAAAGGTCACCTCAACCCCCTCCATCTCCAATCGTCCACTCCCCTTGCCCAAAATGCCTCCCATAATGATTGGCCACCCCACCACCTCCACCACAAAATTCCCTCCTTGTTGTCCCCCCATCCAGAAACCTTGATCCGCCACCCCTAGAAGGTGGCTCTTAATGAAAGAAACTCTCCACCTATATTCCATTAAATTCAGCAAAGGGAATCCTGGTAAAATCTTGGTTATGATTAGCAATCGAAACCGCCAATGGAGTTTTGGATTGCTTCTCCATGAGCTTCCTCATCATCTCCTCCAACCCTCCAAATCAACTCTCCATTTGATTTTCCATGATTGAAAACCTTTCTTCGATGGTTGAGAACTTCTCCTCCATCCCAAATTTGATTTGCTCTACTTCGCCTTCCAACACATACATCTTTGATGTCATCTCTCCAAAACCTCGCTCTGATACCAATTTGATACGTCTTGGAAGTAAAAAACAACAAAACAGATAGAAGAAAAATGCAACAATACAAATATGAGGGTTGATTTTTTTATTACTTTTTCAACAATAGCGAAAGATGCAATTTATTTACTATTCGATAGGTAAATCGGCTCTCCTAAAAACCCTAGCCACCGATGGGAAACTCACATCAAACCCTAGCAAATAAACTCAGCACATATATGATGATAACCCTAAATAAAACTCTCACTTAAATAATCCTCACTTATAATAAACACAACTGGACCTTCCTAAATAGCATAAACACAATTAGGAAATCTTCCTAAACATCATAAAAACATTTAGAAACCCTTTCTAAACAATTAAAACTTTCCTAAAAAGCATAAACATAATTAGAAAACTTTCATAAACAATTAAAACTTTTCCTAAACAACATAAACAATTAGGAAACCTTCCTACATAGCTCCCCCTCAACTCCTCCTTACATAATGAATACTAGCTCCTCTGGGCCCCACAAGAGGAGCCGAAATCTCCCTATATTTTACCCTTAGTTCCACCCAGCTAAAGGGTTAGATCGGCCAAGGCTAGGTCAGTCAACTGGCCTGGCCTGGGCCGATCTGCGACATCTAGAGGCTAATAAAATCCTATCCAAACACATCTTAAACAGGAAATTATTAAAATGACTAGCTTAATTAAAATGCAATGAAACAAAATGTAGATGCACACTAAGGACAAAAATAAAAACACATAAAATGCAATGTTCATTGCTTCCTACTCAACTAGGTCTATAAGGTACACTTAGACGAAACAACTTGTGGTTGTCGATAATGCTTCTTCAATCAGGTTGAGTTGACAATCTACTCTAACTAAGTAAACTATAGATCACGCTGACCCAAAATGAATGAACCATGAGATCATAATAAGGTTCATCATCATTCCCCCCGACATCCACTATGAGTGCAAGGTGGCAAATTTTAAATCCTAAAAACCGAATATATTGCTACTATACATTCAGTACTTAATATCTATATGTCAACTAGCCTTTTTTGAAAGTGTCACCTATCCTTGGAAGGGTAATAAATCATAGGAGCTTGAACTTATAAGAAATCTGAACTCAAATCTTAAAGTCCTAGAAAAATGAGGGTGGAATCTTTGGGTAGTGTATTATCTTAAAACTAATATACCTTTTAAAATTTTAACTTGAAACTTCTGTTAAAACTATACAAATGTAAAGAGGCTAGGGTGCAATTTTTCCGATCCCACACTTCTTACATGGATGAACATATGCAAAAAAACAGTGAAAACAATGCTACGCACCACCATTATGCGCCACCTATGGTCGGCGAGCAAGCTTGCACAAAGCAAGCTCTGGCAAATAGCACAACCTCAATTACCACAAAGTCTCATTGTTTGATGATAGAAGATTCTATCAGTTAAGATATTGTATTGCTGAGGTCTCAGTGCTCCACTTCATCACAAGTAAAATGTCGCAAAATGGATAATAAGGGCTGAACTTTTTATAAATATGGATGGGTCTTTTATAATTTTTTTGTTTGCCAATACCAAAAGTTTTCTGCTTCACAACAACATAAATTTTCTACTTCACCATATTACGGTACTTGTTCTATTAAACAGGCAAAAAGCTCAAAGAATAGTAGAACCAAAGTGGCTTGCTTAAACAGCTCCTTGAAAGACTTCAAGAAACTATGCAAGTAGGTATCAGTACTGAGAAGCAAAAAAATCAGCTAAAAAATTAGGCTGGTTTGAAGCCGTCAATGATTGAAATAAGAAGCAAATGTAAAACGTTCTCAGGCTCCCTAAAATTTTTAACCTCCAGCTTGCACTTTCAAGACATCAGTATAAAAGAAAATTGTTATTCCTACTAAAAGACCACGGCCAATGCAAATAGTACCAACTGCTTATTCATTTTATAATTTCAAAGCGCATTCCAGCCAACTGATAAAGTATGAGTGAAGCTAAAAACTGCGCTTCATAGAAATATTTAGCGTACATGTAATCCAAATTATTGTATACCCTTTCAGGTGCATTTAACAACATGTAATCCAGTATGCACTTTGCACATGTTCCAGAACCACCTCCAATTTCATATATCTGAACGACACACAAGAAAGATATAAAGTTGAGCAGTTATTACTTATTAAATAACTAACAATAAAAAAAGAAAAAAAAGTAAGTTACAAACTACTTTTTAAACAAAAGCAATATACAATCCTGCAAAGGTATTTAAGTTCAAAAAAAAGAATAAATGCAACAACAACAACATCAAGCCTTTATCCCACTGTGAGGTCGACTACATGAATCTTTTTCTCCATTGTGTCTTAACAAGAGTCAAATTCTCATTTAAATATAATAAAGAAATGTCATTTCTAATATTTTCTAACCAAGTATTTTTAAGTCTACCTTTAACTTTCTTAACATAAGTCAAATCTAATATATCTACTTTCCTAATTGAGTCATCGGAAGGCCCCGCCTTTTTAAGTGACCAAACCATCTAAGGAAACTCTCTCTAATTTTATCTTTCACTAGAGCTACTCCAACCTTTCAAGTATATGTTCTTTTTGTATCCTATCTCTAACAGAATGAATAAAAGATTAAAAAAATGTATCAACTGACAATATTAACTATTTCAAACAGGAACAGGCAGAAATAGTGGACAAATTTGAGTAAATCATGAATAAAGCATTTGATTACAAATGACCCCACATAACTTGAATAAAGATGATTCGGTGTCAATAATTCCATGATGAACTGATCTAAAGTATGAAAGGATGCATAATTGATGGGGACATCAGCTCGTGGAAGGTTTATCAGAGGCGTGGCCGCCGATCTACGACCACGATCGAGTCTTTGTATTTCTGAGTCATTTATGTTATTTTATTATTTATGTATTTTTCTATTTGCTTTGTGTCATGTTTGTTCTTCCGTTTGCACCCCTTTAGTAGGAAGTGTCATGTGTGAGCCCAAAGGGCAATTTGGTCTTTTATTTCTTTGAGTCCATTGTACTTCGTTTTATATAGCCCTTTGCTTATTGTTTGATGGTTAATGAATGATGATGAAAATTTTCCCAGTACTTGTTTTCTTGTAGCTTTGAGAGAGTTTGAGAGAGAGAAAGTTAGAAAGCTTGGTGGAGCCTAGGATAGGCCACCCGTCGTACCCAACAGTCACTGCCGGTGGCTCTTGGTTCTCCTCCCTTCCCTCGCCACCACCTCCGGCCACCTTTATTCCCCTCACCCGAACCCCTTCCTCCCCTCCCAACCCCACGGCCAAAGCCCCACCCGAGCCCCTTCCTCCCCTCTCAAACCCACGGCTAGGGCCCTCACCCGAGCCTTGCCGCCGGCCACACATCTCTAGCCGCCGGCTTGTTCATCCCCAATCCCTCTCATCTTGTGTTTCCTAATTGGGCCTTAGATAAATTTGGGATAGATTTTGAAATTCAAAAATCTGAATTGATTTCGAAAACTTTCTTAAATTAACTTTTCTATTTTAGAAAAGTATTTATTTAGATATATTTGAAATTTAAAATTCAAGTGGATCTTGAATAATTATTTCCTAATATCAATCCCCAATTCTAGAAGCCTTAATACACTACATTAATTGCTCCTTGATCCATGCATGCCGCTGGCCCCCATAGAGGGAATTTGGGGATTGGTTTCCTAATTCCCCTCTAAACCTCTTTAGAAATATTTCTAATTTTCCCCCTCCACCTCTTTAGCCGAAATTTCCCTCTCTTTTATTTAAAATTGTTTCCAAAGTGAGCCCCTTACTTTTGGAAACAAAATTAAACCCTTCCCTCCCCATCTTGTCACCGGCCTCCTTCCCCATACCCGCCCCTCTTCTTCTCCAATTCTCTCTTCTCTCAATGCCTCTCCCAAATCATGAGCCCTCATCACTTCTAATTGTCACTCGAAGCTCTGGTTTCATCCCTTTCATAAAGTTCCCCTACAGTACAGTCTCCGAAAACTAGTCCAGTCGATTGGCCAGGTGCTCAAACTGCTCACGGTATTCCACCACCATCCCCTCCTGCATCAGGGCAAAAAATTGCTAATAGAAATCCCCTTTTCTGCTGGTTCAAAAAAATTCCAAAAAGCAATCATTAAACTCTCTCCATATTCGTATAGGTCTCCTTATTTCCCTCCAGTAGTATCATGCTAAAGCTTTTCCTTCCAAGCACAACCCAACTGTCGTCAGTCTCTCCTACTTCGTCAGCCTATTGACGGTGAAGTATCTTTCCAACTTGTCGATCCACTCATGGGCATCATCTCCCTCAAAAATAAACATCTTTAGCTTCCTCGCCCTCAAATCTCCTCTATCCCCCATTTTCCTTCATAATTTCATATTCCCCAAGGGGGTAGTTGTCACATCCCATTTTAACCCCCACAGTCAAAGTACAGTGTAACAAAGTAGGAGAATCTGAACAGACCTTCTTACTTACCTCCATACTGAAGATAAAAAAAATTAGTCTACTCAAACTATCCCAAAACATTTAATCATAACACATCAAGATATTCAGAATATGAAGCATATATAATATACCTCACATAAACCTCAAATAAAATACACATCTTATGAAACAGAGCTTTACTAAACCTTTTAAAATTTACTTACGTACGCAAAAGTCTTTATACAGCTTACACTTGAACTTCTTTGCACACCCAAAAAGTATGTACACCAAAAGAAAGATAGTCACCCCTCTTAATGCCCTGCAAGTTCATTCCCCTTTCATGCAGTACAACCACTGCCAATGAGCTAAGGCACAATGAAATACGCAAGCAATGTATAAATAAATAAATAATAACATTGTTAACAATTTATTCAGAATATTACTCCCTAAGAATAACATGGTTAGAACAAATTGGAAATGTCATACTAATCACAAAAAAATGCATGGCACTACTTTCCATTTTGCCAATTGTTCAATAACTTTAAACAAGTCATATGATGGCTATAAACTTTCGTACCTTTTCAAATTTTCAATTCAAGGTTGGGTCCAGCTTCCCAAGTTTTCGAATGGAAGTTGTTCTCTCATTCAGGATTGAGTCCAATTTTCCCTAACTTCTAGAATTAAGAGTGTAAGCTTATCTCATCGGGTCGTTCGTCTTTACTTGTGCGAGCTTATTCCCCATATATAACTTAATTCACTTAGTCCTCATGACATATGCTTTGATGACATAACTGCGCTTTAGCTGCCCTTTAATTGCGCTTTAACTGCCTTTTTATTGTCCTTTAACTACGCTTTTGCTACCCTTTGGTTGCCCTATAGCTGCGATTTTGTAGGCCTTTAATTGCGCAAAAGCTGCCCTTTAACTGCGCTTTTGCTGCCCCTTAGCTGCTCTTTAACTGCCCTTTAATTGCGTTTTTGTTGCCCTTTTTGCTACTGCGCTTTTGTTTTCCTTTAGATGCTCCTTTATTCATTCATTAGTTTATGAATATTTATTCTTTTATGTTAATGAAATCGTTAACATTAATAAAGATTACTCTTTGCATAAATAATTCAATACATATTCGTCCATGTTCATACAAATCAAACTAAGATAAATTGAAATACATGCAGTCATAAGCATAATAAAGATGAAGTGTAATAATAGAACATTTATTAATTCTTCTAACCTCGTTTGGGTATCTCACCTCACTAGGAATTTATTCTCCTACACTTTGTCTTCATTTCCTCTTGTATACAATCTCAATTGCACTCTTTCTCATTCCATAAAATCATTTTTCTTTTCTTCCAAGTCCTCTTCTTTAATGTTTTATGCTACCACTTCAGCCTAAACTTATTTTTAACTACCATCAACAAACAACAATACTTCCCCTATTGTTTCTTGAATTTGCAGCAACTAAAAGCAATAGCCCTACTTAGATTAAACAGCAAACTGCATTTGGTTTCAGCCAAATAAAGTTTTCAACCACTAACTAAAATATTTGCCTAATTTACCTTACCTTAATTTGCTGAAAAAAATTTCTGAAATTCTTCCCATTGCATTCCATAGCCTGCAGCTCCTTCGCACACTAAGCCAGCTAATGAAAAATGGGAAAAGAATACTAATGCTGTATAACTGAGGGAAATTCCAATCCACTATAGGATTAAATCCTTTTATTCAGATTATTTTATATTATAATCCCTAGTGCTTTTCCCACTACAGGTTTCCCAAAAAATTTCCAACAGTTAGATCTAATTTAGCCAATGCATGACTTGGTTAGTGGAATGTAGAAGCTCTAGTGGAAATAAAGAACTGTGACCCAGCCAATGCATGGCTTGGTTAGTGGAATGTAGAAGCTTTAGTAGAAATAAAGAACTATAACATATGTAACAGTTATTCTTATACTAGTTATGCATATACAATTGACTTCATAAGTAACATATGCTTCAATTAACATATAAAGAAAATTTATACTTGCCTTGAATATTTTGGGTATTATAGTGGTTCCCCCCAAGTGTCACAATCATCTCTTCTACGCTTATGCCCAAACCTTTCATCAAATTCCAACATTCTTCTTTTAAATTCAACACCCTTTGGATCATAATAAATCTCTCTCCTCTAAATTCAGCACCCCTTTATTCATGCTCCACCTACTCACACTTCTCCCTAAACCCTCTACCTGGCTCCTCCCTAGGAACAGGCTCTAGGGGAGGTATTCTCTCTTTTCCCTTTTGAGCCTCCACCCCCTAATCTTTCATTTGCCTTATTGGAGTAGGGTTTTCCGGCTTCTTGGGTTGCTGGAGGCTTTTCTCACCTCTAACGACGTCATTTTGTATTGGCCCTCAAGCAACTTCTTCAACATCTCCCCCATGCTACAAATATTCTCATCCATCTTCTCGTTGATGGCTGAAATTTGACTTTTGACATATGAAAGTTGAGTGTGGAGATCTGAAATTTCAGTTTTCAATTGCTCGATCTCCCCTTCCAACACTTCTACCTTTCTTCCTGCCATAGAAACCTGGATTTAGGTTCCAATAGCAAAGAGCAACAAGTTTGATGCGAATTTTGGCCTCCAATTAGCAAAAACAACAAGATCGGATACAAAACATAGTAAAATTAAGCGATGAAGACTTCTATTTCAGCCCAGAAAATTGCACTGATACCAATTTGATAGAAAGAACTTGTATAACCCTAGAAAACTGATAGGAAACACTTGGATTTCCAAGTGTTTCACACCAAGAACCAAGTAGATCTAGGATGAAAACTGCTGTCCACACAAGAAAACAGCCAAAAACAGCGGATTCGGAGAGAAAACGAAGGAGAAAACGTAAGAGAAACAAAGCAAACACTTTTATTTAATGAGAAATGAAAAGCACTTGCAAGATACAACTTTCCTTCAATTCAAGAGGAAGGAAAAACTCTCCAAATCTCTAGCCGTAGCCTAGAGCCCAAGAACACAAACCCTAGATCTCAAAAATGATTCAAATTCAAGATAACCCTCTCTTCCCCCTATTCCTCCTAATTAAACATGAAAGGAGGATTACAATTTACCTAATTACCCTTCTCATTCAAAAATTCCCTCCCAAAACTCAAAATACAACAAGTGGGCCCCCCTAGGGGTTTCCGCCCAGCTCCTGGCTGGGTTTCTTCCGCCGGGAGTAAGCCCTGACCGGTCCAGGGTGGACCGGTCCAGCCGGCCCAGGATGGGCCGGCGTAACAAAAACCTTTACTGAAATCCGAGAAAATCAGCCACTTGCAAACAATTTTTGAGAAGAAGGAAGACAACAACAACGAAACAAATTTTATTTGATGAAAGACGAACAAAAGCAGGCAAGATACAATGGATTTTCAATTCGAGAGAAAGATCCGACTCTCCCAATCCCTATTCAGCAGCTAGAGCCCAAGTACCTAAGAGAGGTCTCAAATTTCAGCTAAATTCAAGATGCCCTAACCCTAGGAAAATAAATTATTTAATGCGTACAATCCAAAAGGAAATCTCTAAACAGCTCTTACTTTCAAATTTCCCTCCTAAACTCCTAAATCCTTCCTAATCAGAGCTTTTGGACTCTGCAGTTTGAGAGACACGAGCAGAAGGCGGAACTTCTCCGCCTCTGTTACACTCAAGTCGGTCCTGTATGGACCGGCTGGATTGGTCTAACAACTTGCCATGTAGATTATGAAAGTGACTTCATTTACAAGGCCAGATGAAATCTGTAATTGAAATGAATAGTTCCTGATTCTTTCCTGAGCTATTATCACTATTATGTCACATTTGTCCCCAAGTAAATGCAGCCATAACATCGATAAACTGGTAAATCAAATAAATATAACAATCATGAAAGTTTATTTAATGCTATCATAATCCTATTTTGTCAAGCAAAAGAAAATGGGATTTCTGCACAGCAAGTAAGAAACCATAAAAGAAACATTGAGACAGTGAGATTACAGCATAGTAGCATTTTATAGGTTAGGCATAATTCTTAAAATTAAAGAATAGCAACAATAAACGATAGCCAAACCAAATTTTACAATAAAACGGACAAAAAAAACAAAAAGAATCATATAAGCTGGAAATAGATATAATGGAAGGGAAGTGGTGTTACCTTTAGTGGCACGGACAGGTTAGCTGTTCTCAATATTGCTTCTGCTATAGCATGTGCATACCATGGCTACATTATCAAGGATTGAAAACAAAAGTTTAAAACATATTTTACAACAGCAAAACATCCAATGAGTAGGTTGATGAAGATGCTAGAAAGACTGTCCTCTTCAAAAGAATTATATCACCTTTAAATTATATGATCCATTACCAAATAAATTTCAAGATTTTAACACTGGATGATTGAAGAAATAATAGTATCTAGTTAATTACAGCAATCAACCCCCTTCAGCATCTACTTGAAAGTGCAAGCATGCTTGCATGTATGTATGTTTGCTTATATGAGTGTTCCTTCGTGTGCATGTGTGTATATTCGTGAATTTGTGCCAGTAAGCGTGTTTGAATGTAGCATTCATGCTTGTGTGCACCTGACTGTGTTCCTGCATGTTTGCGGGTGTTTTTGTAAATGCTCATGGGTTGTGGGCGGTGGGTGGGGAATAGTGGGGCAAGAAAGAAGAGATGCATAAGGTGCATGTGTATATGTTTGTCTCTATGTGCACGTGGGCACGTACATGTGCTTGATTGTAGGTGATGCGCTTGAGTGGATGTGCGTGTTGTCTGTGAGAGGAGGAGCACACAGAGATGAGAGGGGAGTGAAAGATAAACATGAGCTGCAGAAATTGATCTTTTATGATAATTTTAATTTAGTTTCTTCATTATTATTTTTTCCGTTGAATCATTCATTACTCCCACCTAAAAGTTCTTCTAAAATAAATTTCTGACAATAGACAAGTCCACTACAGAAATGTGTGACTTCGCAAATTTCTGGCATAAACATTAAATCAAAACACCTATTTAATCTGTCAATGCAATAAATACAATTAAGGCGACTGAAAAGAAATGGCCAACTTCTGATGCATTTTTCTAATCCTACCATATCTAACTTCTGATTTACAATAAAAACAAAAATAATAATATTAAAACATTCTGAAGAAGGGCAGCCTTTTTCCTGTGTAAACAAAATATTTGCAAATCACAAAACAAACCATATGAAAAACATAGGTAATAACCTAGATCTATTAAAGGAAGATATATTGCAAAAATGATTTAAAATTAAGTGATTCCATCACTCCATAAAACACGAATAGATAGTACCAGTTGAGTGTCATCAAGCATTGAATGCATATTGTGCTGCAGAAGTGTTCGGGTAGAAAGCAAGCACCTTGAAAAGTTCAACTGGGGTAAACCAAGCGACATCATGCTGCTTGTAGATTGTATCCAAATATTGCAAGTAAGCTTCTCGGCCTAAAATGAAAAAGTGCATGCAAAAATAGAAAAATTAACATAAAGGAATCACAATCAAAATCTTGAGAAGTTGTGAAAGGACACATTGGTTAAAGGAGATGGTTGTATCTTCAAACTTATGCGTTTGAGTTACATGCTTTGCAATTTATAGGTATGTATATATGATGCACCGACACGGACACGGCGACACGGACACGACACGGACACGGGACATGACATTTTTTAAAAATATAGGAGACGGGTGCGGCGTGGACACGGCATAATAATTTTTTAATATAATATATAGAAATTAATGTGACATTATATTAAAAATGACAAGCAATAATAAATAAATTAACGATAACTTGTTTAGCTTATAACATAAAGATGTTTAGTACAACCACACAAATATAAGCAAAAAACTATTTAGTACAACATAAAGGTCCAACTACTCAATAGAGGGAATGATAGAATTAGATTCAGAGGTTGGTCTTTAGCCTTCAATATCATCATCATTGAATATCATTGCTTCCAACTCTGGTTCATCTAGAGAAAGATTTGCAACCTCCAATAATCCCATATCATTAAAGCACTCGAATCCATCTCCAGCAACATCCCACATCTTGTTATCACCTGTCATATAAAGTAGGGTTTTTCTTGATAGAAAATGAAGATTTGTATGCACATAAATTAAATCTTTTGTTAAATCTTTTGCACGTTGTGGAGTTATTTTATTCCTCTTCATTGATTGAATAAATGAGTATGTGCTTCAATTTCTCTCACATCAGAAAGAGGATGATACTTGACCAAGAAGTTTTATTGCTATTGTTTAAAGATGCGGTATTGAAGCTCCATGGATCAACCACCACATTTTTTTATCCATCCTCCATCTATCAACCAAATATTCTTGATCATTAAAATCCTCTAAATATCCAAATAACTTTGCAAATTCTATACTAATTTTTCTTCTCTCATCCTCATTCAGGAAGTATCTTTTTAGGCATATCTTTCTCATATTTGAAACTTCTAAATCTTTTTGTGGTGAGACACATTGAAGGTCTTCTTGAAGTCATTCTTTACTTAAATACCTTCAAATAATACAAAGCATATAAAATTATATGTTCATTTACCAAGAAATTTAAATGAATTTAAAAGATGAATACAAATGTACATTGGATTTAATGAATGAGCCAAACAATGCAAAAGTGTGTTGCTTTTGCTCCACCTATCTTCAAGAAAGGTATAAACAACGCTCAAAAAATTTGAGTCTTCTTTATGTGACTTTCTTTCATGTTTGCATATAATTTTTTTCACTTTTGCTAACATAGAGTCCCACATCTCATAAATCAAATGTATGCATGATTTATCTGTGTCAGTTTCTCTCAACATATCATAAATTGGATCAGTGAAAGCTAAAATGTAATATATATTATCCCACCACAAATCATCTAAAGACCTTTTCTTTAACATACCTTGCCTTCCCAACATCATCTTCTCGATAGCAAGACCACTTCTCATTAATCACCATAGATTGAAGAGCATTTTTAATTTGTTTGAATCTTCTTAACATGATTATTACAGAGGAAAAACGAGTTTCAGCAACAACTAACATTCTCAAGTGGGAGAAATCATTAAACATTGAAAGTTACATAGAATGATTCATAATAAAATTTCTGATCATAACAGCATCATCTGCAATCATTGTTATCCAATGACATTTAACATAGATGATTTCATTAGCCTCTGTATTCTTTACTGCACGAATATTTTTAGAGCAAGATTTAAAGTGTGCACAATACAGGGTGTCCAAAATATATGGGAATAAATTTGCTCCACCAATAATCCTGCAGCTCTACACACTGGTGCATTATCTGTAATAACCTGCACAACATTTGAAGGCACAATCATGACTATCACCTCTTTAATCAAAATGACAATGAAATGTTTATCCTTGTATTCTCCTTTATAATTCACAACTTTAATGAACATTAGGTAATTCTCTATAACGGCCATGAAATTAATAAGGGGTCTTCTTTGAGGATCTGTCCAACCATCACACACCAAACTAACACATTTTTCTTTCCACACTCCTTTTTTTTGTTCAAGCAATGTCTCAATATGTGATATTTCCCTTTCCAATAATTTTGATCTTAATGCATTGTAACCAGGTGGAACATATCCTGCAAGGTTGTTGTTACATGCAAAAATGAATGCATTTTTATAATGAGGATTCCTTGCAAGGTTGAAAGGAAGTCCTGCTGAAAAAGCATCCATGCTATTTCACCATTCAATACATCTCGCTGCTGCAAATTAAAAGCTTTCTCTAGAGGACTATTGCCAACTCCTTTTCTTTTTTTTTTTCATATTCTCACTTCTAAATGATAAAGCTTGATCAACTCTCACAAATGAGGAAGAAGTGTGGGATGAGCCATGAGTAGATGGTAAAGGTATCTCTTTAAGGAGTGTCCTTTTGATCCTAGATTCAACTTCATCAACTTGTCTGTTCAATTCAATCAACTGCGACGTAGTAATCTTAGGACACATTTTAATTTCATAGCCTGAAATCTTAAGTAGATGTGCTTTCACCCTAGAATAAGATCCTTTGTAGATGTCACCATAATAATTGCATTTGAATGACACATTACCTCCTCCAAATATTTTTCCTAACTTTGTAACATGAATCCATAACGACTTATCAGTTTCTACATATGGCTCTTTTGAACCTTCACCTAATCCACTCCCGCCAACAGCAGAGTTCATTTTGCTTAAAAATACACTGGTGTAACAAACCAGTTATACATAGGAATGCATCAAGTTAAATTTATATGAAGTGAAATCAAAAATTTTCAATAATAAGACAACATGAATAAAATAATATACAGGTCTGCCGGGATTTTAAGGGCGCTGCCCCCTGGCGGGGTTCAACCGAGCGATACCGAGCATGTACCTAGTGGTACAGAGCAGTACTGAGCATGTACCTAGCGGTACCGAGCATGTACGAGCAGTACCAAGCATGTACTGAGCGGTATCGAGCATGTACTGAGCAGTATCGAGCATGTACTAAGCGGTATCGAGCATGTACCTAGCAGTATCGAGCATGTACTAAGCAGTATCGAGCATGTACCTAGCGGTACCAAGCATGTACCTAGCGATATCTAGCAGTACCGAGCATGTACATCAGCTTTTTCAATAATGAAGAGAAAAAATGATGAAATCCACTTACAGGTCTTGGCTCTCTTGTGCGCATAAGGTGCTCTGTTTGGCGATGATTGCGAACTTTGCCTCGGCTAACCGCAGAAATCACATAGGAACGAAGGAATGGGAAAGACGAGCTCGGCTTGGCCTCGGCTCTAGCAGAAATGACGAAGGAACGAGAGGCAAAGGCAGCGGGCTCCGTTTGGCGTCGGTTGCGAGCTCGCCCGGTCCGCCCTAGAATATTTCTTTCGTGGATCGAAAAAATAAGGCTTCTCATTCGCGAAAAAAGATAAATAGAACGAATCATACGATTTTATTATTTAATAACCGAACACGCGTGTCAGACACATGTCCGGTTTTAATTTTAATTTTTTAAATTGTGACACTCCAATGCCATGTCTAACACGTGTCCATGCAGTGTCAAACGTGTGTCCGTGTCCGACACGTATCCGACACTGCATACCCTCTTTAAGCGGAGTGTCGGGGCATCATAGGTATGTATGTATGTATGTATGTATGTGTATATAAGTACACATATAAGGAACTTAGACTTTAGGTACCTCATAATACCATAAATTAGCCCAATATGTCTATTGTTTGCTTTTTAGGGAAAATATGCTTGAACTTCATTTGGAACCAAATTACTCTCATAGAAATAGGATTCAAAATAATCGGTCAAGAGCTACATGAACTTCTAAATAAGAAGCAGGTCAAAGGTTCGTCTTTCCAAGACCTCCATCTCTGGAGAACTTCAAGCACATGCGATCAAATATGCATTAGAGTTTCATGACAATACTTCCATCTCGTTCTCCATCTCCGTCTATATGTTCAGAATAAGTAATATTACACACTGATTATTTAGTTTAAACCTTCGTAGTTAAAATCAAAACCCATAAGAACATTAGACACCACATACCTAATATGAACATGGAAAAATATTTTTGAACCTCCAAGAATGCACACTTGGAGAAAGCACTTATAGAGTGCAATGAGAGGGACTAGCGTGGAAATTGAGTGTATGATACCCTGTGGATGGTTGCCACCACAATCATGACAAAAACAATGTGATTTTTATTGCGATGCATGGCTTGGTTGAAGATGAGAAGGCCTTTTTTAGGTACACCATTGTTAAAGATGAGAATGCCTTTTTTAGTTACACCTAGGGTAAGATGTCTTTGGAAAAGATATTGAGAGATTTGAAGAAAGACATGGTGCACTATGAGGCCATTGGCCCGAAGAATAAAAACCCAACCCAGTACATTGTAAATGAATATGCTATAGCATTGTAGTACTTCTCATGAAGCCATCGCAGAGCAAGGGTGGAGACAAGTTCAGTTTCTTATAACATTGTAACCGATTATGTAATTATTTTATATCGGACGTCGCATTTAAAATGGCATGTGCCACACCGTGTGTTATGCGCCATGGAACCCCGAGGAATTTTGCGCCATGGTGCGCCATTCTCCGTTCACAAGTATGAACCAAATTAAGTTAAGCTAGTTGATTAAGTCATCATTAAGGAGTACTCAACTACAAGAACTTGAGAAATGGCCAAGAACTCAACAAAGATTAACCATTTAAATCAACTCATCAACCAACATATGGTCAGCCAACACTCAGTATTCATGCCCTATGATAGTATTTGGGTAAAACATATCTGCATTTACTTTTCCAAGGGTAACCGACCTTCCGATATGTGTTAAATTCAGGTGAAAAATGTGAAGCCACATGTCTAGCTATAGGGACATCCAACAAATCAAGTGATAGTAATTTTTCAAACAATTTAGCCTATAACATCGATCTTAGTGCACTCATAAAATTGATGGTAGAGGTTCCCAGTGTGGGTACCCTTTTACAATCTTTCTTATCACTTTTCAATATTTTTTTCTCTAACTTGATTTCTTTGACCTTAAATAGGACACAATGGAAAAAAAGGATCATGAAGCCGACCCCACGTAGTGGTATAAAGGCTTGATGTCGTTGTTGTTGTTGTATAGAGTTTAATCTATTTAGGCTCAAAACACTCTACCAAAACCTTAAGAACACATAAAATTTTTAGAAATCACAAAGCAATAGCACCAATGAAACCCCTTGAGAGATGGTCTGTGAAATCAGCTATATAATTTCCAAATGGGGATTGAGCCTCTTTTTAAACTTGCTTGCAGACAATAGGTAGAACTAGAATCAATTCAACTAAACTATTTTCTCGAAGTGAGTTCAATCGAAGTCTTCAACCCAATTCCAATGTCAAAACCCTAACAGGCCTGATTAGGATTCAGCCATTTACCACCAAACAAGTCTAGGGCTTCCAATAGTGAAGTCGCAGAGAGCACCGAGAGACAAATGGTAGGTGACACATTGCAAAGTAAAGTATATGTGGCTAAATTGAACGCATCAAGTTTGTAAGGACATGAGGGGGTCTTGTGTATTTGGAGCACAGTAAAATTAAAATTTGTATCCATTTTGCTTTAATATCAATACTTACACAGTTAAAATGCATGCAAAGTTTTTTTATTTTATAACCATTCTCCCTCAAATTTAACAGCCCCTTAATCCTGAACTAGGGCAACTGACAGCCACCGAGTATTGATGTCATAGTGAGTGGTTCAAGTATCTACTGCACTAATACATACCAATTGGTGGAACGAACAGCACTCGTGGCACCAAAATCTTAACGAATACAGTCATTCATGATAGATGCATCATCATCCTAGAAAGGGAGCTCACCTTGGATTTGACTGAACCTAATACTCTTTTCCAAAACTCCAACAGGCCCTGAAGGCTTGGAGAAATACCCATTTTTCGTATCATACAAGGCGGCTCGGATAAAATCGCGAACCTGTGCTCAAGAAAGTTAGATAGATGCCAGTTAAGACGATATCAAACAGGACAGATATTGCAAAATAATGAAAGAGACGTAGGCGGAAGGAAGGTGCTCACGAGCAAAGGCTTGTCGCCGACAAAACCGGAGGAAAAGAAGGCCACCGGAACACACTGGATGCGAAACTGGCAAAAAACTGTGCGGGAACAGTGAAGCAACGCGAAAGAAAATGAGATTAAGAAAGAAAGACAAACCGTGACAAAGCGAAGAAGGTATACTTTCAGTTGCGTGGGATGCCGGAAGAGAGAGCCGTAATCCCAATCGTAGCACCATCTTCGATTTGAAGGCGGGTGTCGTAAGCTCTATCAGTGGTGGCTTCCCTCCTGCCCGGCGCGGCTGGAGAAGCGAAGGGCGACCTTGGGGCGGGAACGGTATACAGTTGGTAGACTTGAGTGAAAGGTATTTTACTGTGGGGCTTTTGGGGCTTGAGTGAGGTATTTAAAATGCAGTAATTTTAAAATTTTAGTATTTGATTTAATAAAATAAAAATAAATTATAAAATATTGTGAACATTAAATTTATACTATAGTTCATTAAATATGTATTAAAAACTCTTTCTTTTTTTATAGAATTTTAACTATATCACACTGCATTCCTATTTAACCAAGACAAACTACCTCCTAAATGTTCTTATGATTTTAAATCTTGTAATTTTGTTTGTCATAATAGTTGTTACATTATGCTAAAATGTAATAAATTGTTTGTTTATGCATATTCATAATTTAAGGTGATTAACTTAATTATGATTTAAGCATAAAATATTATAATACAATATGAAATAGTTTATGCAAACACAACTACAATCAAATCTTAATCAAGTTCCTAAACATATTAAAGTACAATTAAGCATCAATATTTCTTTTGTAGCAACATAATTATGGCTTGCAGTTCAAGTTGATCGGTATGATTGGCTTGTTGCCTGTGAGAAGAATGATGTATTAGTAAATCACTGTTAAAATGTGAAATTTATTTATGCTTATTGAAATTGAAATATTAAGTATACTTCCTATAAGTTTATGGGGATTGCATGCCCATCATATCTTCTTTAATTATCTCCCCAACTGTCTCATAAACATTAGGGTCTTCATCATTGATTTGTACCTCACATAAATCATTCATCTTCTTTAATTATATCCCCAACTGTCTCATAAACATTAGGGTCTTCATCATTGATTTGTACCTCACTGAAATCAGTCATGCTACATCTCAATTTGAGATACATTGAAATACACATCATATTCATGGTAGCAACCAATAAATTGTGTTGTACTACAGAAACAAGCATAAAATCCTCTAAATCATAAATATATTAATAAATAAATCATTCATAAGTAAACACTCAAAATCTCTATTTTCACATTGTTAAATGTTCTCTCCACCATATTGTACAGTTGTTCTCTCCACCATATTGCACAGTTGTGCATGGCAATAATCATACAACTCCACCTCAACAAAGTAATAATGTGATATTTCTCCACAATACTTAAATGATATTGGTATCCCCTAAAGTGTGTCATGAGCTTATTAGTGTTAGCATGGTCGGACAACCAAACAATATTTAATTACTTTGTGGTACTCTAAACTCTCCCACCAGCAACCATCATAATAGTCACATATCAATTGCAGACCCCTCCCAACTAGGTATAACATTGACAGACTATTTATCAAATGAGATGGTTGTCATAAAGTTATGAGAAGTATATCATTTTTCTATTATGGTGTCTATTATGAAATCATCTATTAATGACTATATGGATATGGGTTCCATTTATAACTTCAATTGCATTTTAAAAGTAAAGATGAAATTAGGGGTTTGATGGTATAAAAGGATGATAACCAGCTTCATGTAGGGGTAATTTGATGAACTCATTTGTTAATAACATATTTGTACATAGTGTCAGATTAAAAATCAACTCATTATTTATGAAGATCCTATAAATACTCACATAATTATTTAAAATGATGTGCATGTGCCTTTCCTCTAAAAAGATCTGTAATTGTGTATCCATGACATGTGCTTCGCATCGGTGATCAAGCCTCAACTTATTAATGTTGACCATAGTGGATGATAGTAAAGTATATATGATACATACTATTGGTTTGTATGGGGATTATTGGACACAGCCTTCGCATATATATCAATCTTCTCATATGAGGAACTAACATCTTCCATAATCGAAATAATCAATTCACTTATGGCATCATTAAGCTCTTGATGTGTGTCAACTAGTGTTGTAGAATTCACCAATAAGACAAACTCTTGGATAATTATCTATGACCAAAATAATAATTTACACAGCATAAATTTAGTGAACATGACATAACCAAATATTTATTTTAAAATGGGAAGACACTTGTGCAAGTTATGAATAACAATAAAGTTGAAGTTGACTACACCTCACAACTAACAAATAACCATATAAACTAATCTAGCAATAAAATACAAATAACAAATAATGACATAAATTGAAGTTAAACACAAAGCAAAGCTAAGAATTTATATAGTAAACACTAAATATCAACTACAATTGAATATAAAATATAATTATCATAGCCAAGAAGGAGAAGTAGAGAGTATGATCTAAAGATCGTAATGTGCAATTAGTAAATTTTTTCTTATGTTCATACAGGATGATAACTGGGACGATTGGAAATTATCTCAATAAATCGTCCAGCACGATTGAAATAATATTGTATAATTAGTTCAAAAATCAAGTTTTCGTCCAGTATGAGGTATATGGGATGATCAAATTTCATCTATGTAGATCATCCAATACAATTTATATTGTATAGTATGGTTTATCATAATTATTAAACCTTCATTTTATTGACAAATACTGATGATTAATTTAAGTAAGTTTTCAAATATCGCACCGCATGATATGGATCATACAATACGATTAATTAAAAGAAACAAAATTTTAAAATCTTACTTAAAACATTTGGCAGCTAGGATTTCTATATTAAACTGGTTGTATAGTATGATTTAGATCAAACAATATGATTAGTTTAAAATTTTTAAAGCTTAGTTTCTCACACCCCTTATATGTGTGTACGATCACCAATTTCAGCATCCACCTTAAATAAGACTTTGATTCAAGAAATATTAAAAAATTTAAGTAAATAAAAATTACATACTATTGAAAAAATATAAACATATTATACCCAGTCTTGGGTTGATCAGTTTGCACGGTGTAAGGCGGGAATGAAATGTCAATACATGAAAATAAATATCTAATAATAGTAATAGGGAAAAACATGATAGACAAACTAATAATATTTATTATCATTAAAATCACAAAATCAGGGTCTAGATTTGCAACAATCGTATGATAGGGTATAGTTAGGATTTTTTTTATTTTTTTATTTTAACTTTACATTTATAATATAATTATGTAGTATTTTATTTCATTTGTTTATAGTTATTTTATTTCTTATTTTATGGATTGATGAGTGGGCACTTACCCTTAAATGTTTAA